TCTCTCTCTCTCTCTCTCTCTCTCTCTCTCTCTCTCTCTCTCTCTCTTGGTCGTTTCGTCCCTATAATTCTGATTGCGCTGCTTGGATGGCGCAAGCTCAATACCGAACAACAACAACAACCACAACAACAACAACAGAAAAATACAACGCAAAAAGCGGCAAAATTAGATGGAATTTATTCAGTGTTCATTGCTCAAATGGATTTATATCAATTTACGACGTAAAACTGGATTGAACCAAAGCGGTACCGGTAGAGACGGAGAAAAAACGAGAACGAGACCGAGACCAAGAGAGTGAAACCAAATATTTGGACTCCAAATATCGTACCGAATATATATTGGCATTAGCCAATGATGGAAATGAAGCCATTAAGCGTGTAAACAAGTGCCGAGCATTTGAACTAAGAAACCAAATTATGACTGGAATTTAATGAAGCTGGATATCTATGTGCTGCTGTTGCTTTTCTCTCTCTCTCTCTCTCTCTCTCTCTCTCTCTCTCCCTATTTTGTCCTCTATGTGTCACAGAATGTAGACCAGAAAAAATAACGACCGAGTTCAAATTTTTCGACGAAATCAATGAGAAAAGTTTAAATGAGAATGTATGTTTCAGTGGAATCAATCATCTCGACGAGTATATCGATTTGGCAACTAATACGAATGCCATTCAAAATTTGCCCTCTTTTTTCCCATTTTGTTTTGACAACATTGATACGCCTGTGTGATGTCGCAGTCAGTGTTTAGTTTTCATTGGCAACATTTCTTTCTAGGTTAATAATCAAAGTTTTGGCAGAAATCGAGCCGAAATTATTCCAAGCTTTTTCCTCCCCCCCCCCCAAACCACTCATCAAATGTTTATTTTATGCGATGCTTTTCTCAATCATTTAAAATGAACCATTTCATTTCACAGTTCATGAATCGAATTTCGTTCGCATTTGATTATTATTTCCAATGAGCGGAAATAAAACGCGATTTCTCAATCTTTTATTTTATTTTTGCCGCCACCGCCGCTGCTGCTTGGTTCTTGTGTGCGCCAGCATTTTTCGCATAAATATATTTTCTATTTCG